TATATACAATTAGCATAATATGAAATATCACACCTAAGGATATAAACCAGAAGCATCAGCTTCGGGTTGCATAGAGAGGGAGGGAATTTCTTGACCAGCTAAGATACTACCAGCTTCTCAAACACCCTATGCTATATTATTGTTAGAACTGTTGGGGTAGCAGTAATGGTTTGAGGCCCTGTTAGGGATGCAGTTTCTTAGCAATTCTGATCACGTAATTTGGAACAGCAACTGTTTTTGTGAGATGCACCTTCGCTTCAAAGTTACAGTTCGTCTGGCAGTCACACGCTGGCCAACTGCTGGACGGTAGAAAGCCTGGTGTAAAACGAAATGTTTTTGCGTACGCTTGTGGCACTATGGAAACTAGAGGCAAATAACAATGCCATAAATGCCTTTGGAAACTTAAAAATGGATTAAAGAGAAAACTGGCCTGATCTGTTAACCGACATATTCCAATTTCGGCAAAATGACAAAGTTGCGGAGGTGAATTGATGAGTCCCATGATCAGTACGCCTTAATCCCTGGGAAAGGGCCCTGGGTACACACTGCAAACATGGCTAGGTGAAACTCAAACCAGTCTTGTGTTAACAAAGAAACTCTTTGTCCTTGCCGGGAATACAATCCCGACGAGGTTCTCACAGCTGTGGCTATGAAGAAGTTTATCTTCTGAGATTTGACGCAAAAGCAAACGGACGCTTCGTAAGAATATATCGCCTCCATCTTCGGGTTGAAGATCAAACCAAGCAAGAAAACCAAAATAAAGCAGGCAGAATATGAGCTGCATTCCTTTTTTTTTTGTTTACTCTTTGAACTTGGCAATCAGGGCAGTTAAGTTCCCCGTCCTAAACATCCCGTCTTTCACTGGGCTACACAGAATCTTTTGCCTGAAGAGAGAAGTATCTTACTCACTCACGGAGCTGAGCCCTTCTGGAGGAGCCGCCAATTCTGCAGCTACTCAAGAATTTCCCAGCATTTTATGGAACCCGAAAGTTCATTACCGTGTTCACAAGAGCCCTACACTGGTCTCTATCATGAGCCAGATAAATCCAATCCATCCAATCCACCAACGCCTTGGTCTTTCCAGTGGTCTCTTTCCTTCTGGCTTTCCCACCAATATCCTATATGCATTCTTCTTCTCCCCCATTCGTGCTACATGCCCTGCCCTTCTCATCCTCCTTATCTTGACCATTCTAATTATACTCGGAGAAGAGTACAAGTTATGAATGAGGAAATAAGTATTCAGTTATTCACTTAGAGAACGCGATGGCGGAGTGTCAGAATGTGTGACTTTTCCTTGGCAACGACAAAAACATCAAGCCAATGAAAAGGGCTTCTCTAATGGAAGGAACGCGGTAAGGATATATTTCAGAATATTTCATGACAGAACCTCACTCGAAATTCCTTGGCCCTGAGCGGGTTATAAACCAACTACCTCCAGAATACCAGTCACACGGACCATCTCTGAACCGACCTGCTAACCTTACGCTTATGCCGTTAGTGTTAAATGCTTCTATGTTGAATAATACTGTGAGTGCATATGCTTCGGGCGACCTGGTTGCGCGCTTCCCGGGGCGAGATCATGACTGGCCTCTCTCATAAAGCGACGTGCGGGGTTACAACCTGTATAATGGACAGGCATAATCTCAGTATTCTTGCGTCATGCAAACACCTTATTAAGGTAACTGAACTCTGCCTTCTGCACACGGATTTTTACGCAAGTTCCTAGGTTGGGAAAAAGATTTATAGGGCAGCACAGTTGGTCCTGTTTGCAACTCTCTCACATCTGTAACTGTCATATTTTGACTGAAACGGCACGAATAGTTTGCTTTAACTACTGATAGATAGCGTGAGAAGCAACTTTTGACGCCAAATAAAGCAGGAAACCGGGAATAGAATAGGAAGGGGTTTCACACTGGCAATGCCTCTCTATAAGACTGTTGCAAATATTAACACGTTTCACACGAAACATCTGTAGCTTTGGTAAGACTGCACAAGACTTTTACTTAGACTGGTCCATCTTGTCTATGTCATATTCTTTGAATGTGAAGTTTAGCTCAAATAACCTAAAATAAAGTATCTTACATACAATATGCTACGAGTTAAGAGAATTCGAACGCTGTTATCTTACTGTTTATGAATGTTACGTCGTTCTAAAACCGCAGCAAATTTTACGTGAAGCTCTAGATTTTAAAGTTGGCCATTCGAAGCATAAAGATGCCACCTGAGCCACTGCTTCGACAGAGAGAGATGGAGGCAACATAAAGTTGTGAAAGGGACACAGGGTCGTGTAGGGTGGGACGCGTGGCGAATAATTGTGAATTCTAGTTCGGATGACCGGATTTATTGGCACTGCGGTTATAATCTCTCTTAATTACAATTAATACAGCGCTACAGCTGATTTACACAATTTACACACCGTTACACACACACTAGGATCCTCAGCCTTCACTAGTCGTATCCTGGTAACGGAATTAAACAGTCTCACTGTGACTAAATCTTCTAATCACACGCCAAGTTATCAGAGACAGACTTCTTATTCTTATTCTACGACGAATTTCGTGGCCGTCTTTTACCGAGAACTCGAACTGACTGAGTGCTATGTCAAAGTCACAATGCGACTGACGGTCGGTCAGTCAGTAAGTCTTGGTGTCTAGCAGTTACGGTCCTGTTTTTGTGGGGCGCCCTCTCTGACTAGAGGACGGGTCTTTTTTTCTTTTTGTATATGCTGCTGGCCCTTGCCAGTGCAGTCTTTCTCGGGTCCGAGTCCCTTGGGACTCGTGGCCATATTTTACTGTCTCAGATTTGAGACTTCCCTTTTCGTCGCCTCCTACGACTGGCAGGGTCACGGTGGAGGTATTGGACCCCGCTCCACACGGGGCGACTGAGGGCTAGTCAAAGTCAAAGTCATATTGCGACTGACGATCAGTCAGTCAGTAAGTCAGTCAGATATTAATTATTACCGTTTGACAGTTACGGTCTTGTTTCTGCGGGGCGCCCTCTCTGACGAGAGGATGGGTCTGTCTTTTGTATATGCTGCTGGCCCTTGTCAGCGCAGTGTTTCTAGGGTCCTAGTCACTTGGGACTTGCAACCATATTTTACCGTCACTCATTTGAGACTTCCCTTTTCGTCGCCTCCTACGACTCGCAGGGTCACGGTGTAGGTAATCACTGAGGGCTAGCGCAGATGTTCTTCAAGATAACTCCTCCGGACGGACCCCACGGAAAACACGGCCTATATTGTTGCGTAGCGCCGACCGCACAGAAAACACAACTCACGTGATTCTTACCCAGCGAATTCACTGGAGCGCTAACTGTTGCTTAGCAACGAACTATAAACATTAATCCTATTGTTGCGTGTTTACAATTTCGTTGCCTAGTAATGGAAACACTTTGCCTATTGTTGGCCAAGAATTTGCGTTCGAGGGAATGTGTTTAGCTAGCTATTTCCTAGCAATGGATATACACGTTACAATATTTTTTTAACCGAGAGGTATTAATTAAATACAATATAATTTATTAAATCGATATTCGAACTAATCGGAAAATCTGTATATGTTTCTCGTCTATTTATGGGCGTTTCGTGGCCGCCCATCTAATTTTCGTTGAATTGATAACCTAACATTTGACGAACAGCACAAATTGTGCAGTTTTCTTCTTCCTGTTGTTCAGTGTTTCCCTCGGGTACAAACATTGTCCTCAGTGCTTTGGTCGCAGACACGCTCCATGCATGCTGTGCGCCTACGGCCAGAGACGAGGATTCGCAAGGCAAGCACCACAGTCATCTCCTTGTCATAAAGCAGGTTAGTTCAGGAAATAGCCGGCTCCGAATTTCGGCAACAGCAACGGTTATACCGAAAGAGGTTGTTCACATGTAGATTTCGAGGTTCTCATAACGGTGGTTATGAAGAGGCATAACGGCGTGTAGTCCGTTAAAAATCAACCGACGTTTCGAAGGAACGTGTCGTCTCCATGTTAGGGCGCCAACCGAGTTTCGGAGGGAAATGCCGCCTCATTTATGGAGTCAACCGACGTCTCAGAGGAATGTGTCACGTCCATCTTTAGGTTTTCCACAGTTTCCCCTACCTCCCTCCAGGCGAATACCCTTTAGTGCCACCAAACACACCATGACCGCTAGTTCACAGTATGTTGGACACAATCATTTCATCTTATTTGCCGGTACACAGTACCTGGTGTCATTAATCTATGGCTGTCCAGCCATTTGTTGGGATTTGGCCGCTTTGTCACTTCCTTGATCTCTTACACAGTCGGTAGGACCACACAAACATAGAATAAACGCAAACACAAACATCCACGCTTTGAGTAGGATTCTAAACACTATATCACAAATATCCGACCGCCTCTCTGGTCTAGTGGTCAGAGTTCCTGCTTACAGATCCAAAAGCCCTGGGTTCGATTCCCGGCGCTACCAGTTTTCTGAGTAGTAGTGGGTCTGAAACGGGGCCTACTCAGCCGAGTGGAGCGGCTCCGGACTAGAAAACCGAGATTAACGGCCGTGCGGATACGTTGTGCTGACCACGTGACACCCTCTATCCGCAAAATTTGGCACCAACAAGCGGCAGTCCCTCGGTCGGTATAGTTCGCTTGCGGACTACAGGCCACGGAGTTTGATATCACAAATATTCATCCCCCAAAGATCTTGGAGCCCGTGTCTTCGTATTTGAAGGCAGGAACGACCAGGAACTCTGTGCTGTTACCCACAGTTCGGCCACTCACACCACCAAATGCCACGAAAGAGACAGAAGTAAATGAAGGACTATCTGGTCATGACACTAAGCCAGTAGAAATGTATCTAGCAGCATAAAAATACGAGTAATGCTTATATTTTCACGGTGGTTGTATTGTACACAGGTCTACATACAATGAACACGAAGTACAATTTACGGATGGCGTTGTATGAGGAACATTGTTACACGGAATATTGCTGAACACAACCACATTACTATGACTGAAATGTCCACGAGATAGAGAAATGTACTCACTTCCATGGTGAACCAGAGCTGGTCCTCTTCTTGTGTCTGCCCACGTCGCAAATACAGGCCATGGAAGGTGGGGATGTTGGGATGCATGTTGAGGTCACGCAGAACCAGGAATTCCTCTTCGATCTCTTCAATATTATCTGCCACATTCTCCAGGATTTTTACAGCCACTCGGTGACCTACACAGCGAAATGTAACCATATTCAGCAGTCAACCTACATTGTCCACAGCAGTGGTACCAAGCACGGGAGCTACGTGGTAACAATTCTTGCTTCAAGAATACTGTCTTCTGGGATTCAGAATGGTCACTACGTCTCCATACTAAGGATGGCAGAGTAAATCAAGGAAGAAATCAGCAAACTTGATCTGCTTGCAGCCTGTTTCATAGCTCAAGCGGTTAGTCGCTGCGGCCCGGGTTCGATCCCGGGCCTGGTCAAGTGGGATTTGTGGTGGAGAAAGTGGCGCTGGGGCAGGTTTTCTCCGAGTACTTCGGTTTCCCCTGCCAATCTTCATTCCAGCAATTGCTCCACAATCACCCTCACCTATCATCTGGGGCTGGTACAATAAGCCAGAAGTGGCCGCAGTACAAGGGGCTTAGTCCCACACCACTAGCAATAAAAAAATACTCTTCAGCACAGAAGATGTTATATGGTCCTCGGATCTGCAGAGTGTTGCATCTCAGAAGACAGTATTCTTTGTGTTCACCGATGTGGGAACTTGTTTCCTACCCTACTGGGGCTACGAGTCATCACCCGAGAGTTTCTTGGTTTGTATCAGTCCCTCGAAGGAAACATCGGTAAAGAAGTCATGATTGGTTTGACACCTAGCCATCTCATTCATAACCACCTCATTATGTCTTTCAAAGGGAAATATCCCCACAGTAGCTTCATTTCCTAAGGACACTGTTGATTTCAGTTTAATCCTTGCAAAGAGAAGAGCTAAGACTAATTTCTACGGTGCTAATGATTGCCTATTTTGGATCGTGCATTTGTCTTCCTCACCTTGATGTTGATCAGAAACAAATGGACGTTTTTTCTATGCAAAAGCAGCACAGAAAACATATAGATAACACGCATACTTCGCAGTACACCTGTCCGAGTGTCACAGTTGTGGACACATTCAGTGGTGACGTGTTGCCGTCCTTTCTTCATAATTCCACCGTAACGCAGACAAATGGCTGCCGCAGAGTAACCAGTGCTGGTTCGGATACGGTGAATGCGCACGGACAAAGGCTACGGATTGCCTCGCAAGAACAAAACGGAATTAGAATGGAAAAAAGAGGAATTCCAGATACCCATTTCACGGATGTAAAGAACCGGAATCTTCCTCAGGAAAAGATTTCGTCAAATAATAACAGCGAATATGCACAAGGAATAAAAAGCCAAATCTGTCCCTGTACTTAAATAATTAAGCACTACATCATGAAGACGTATGGAGTAGATATGTACGTAGATCCACATTTTCTTGACCTCGGCACTAGATGGGAGTGAGTGGTCAGTTTCACGTTCCGACCGCTTTACCCTGGGGAAAGAGCCTAAGGGACCCATTGGATAAGAGGTTGGGTGAGCCCCAGAGTTGATCTGGACGACGTGGAGAAGATAAATTCTAGACCCTAGAGGGACTCGAACTCCGACTCCTCGGTCGTCCATCCCATAGCCAGTCGCTATACCGACTCACATATACACAAGGAATAACTGTCTTAAATCATTTCCGAATTACGCAGATCTGTAATCCCAAAAGAAAATACATTCCGAAGAGACAGACGAAGAATTCGGTAGTCTGCCTGTACGTCTGTGTGTACCATTGGTTCTATTGATGAGTTCAGATTTCATGCAAAAAAAGAAGACAAAGTTAGTCCTGTGTTTTATTAATTAAGCAGCACGTCATGAAAATGTATGTGGGGTTGGAGGTATAGCTCCACTATTCTTGAACATGGCACTTGTTCATTCCCCTTAAGACTCACGACCAGTAATTTCATTTTAGAACTGAACAATTGTGGTTATAATCCTTATGTAACATCCTCTCTCACGAGAGGACCAGTCTGTCGTTTACAATTGCTGCTGGTCCTCGCCAGCGGAGTCATTCTCAGGTCAGATTCCTGGGGAATCATGACAACATTTTATTGTCTCAGGTTCGAGGGCCAGGTCCCTGTGTTTACATCCCCCAGGAACAGGGTGGCTCGGTTATACCCACAGGCTCTGAGTTCCATTTTCGTCGCCTCCTGCGATCTGCAGGGCTACGGTGAATCTTTTCGAACCCGCTTCCACATGGCTTTGATTGTTCAGCCTCACGCTGCGGTCCCCTTATCCACAGAGAAGGAGCCCCCGGTCCCCATCTGATAAGAAGCTGAGTGGGTCCAAGAGGCGGTGTGGAAGCTGTATGGTTGCCGGGAACCGAAACCCAGCTACCCAGCCTGGAGCTATTCAGAGTGAGTCATCCCGACTCCTTCAGCTAAACACATCCTACATCATTACAAACCGAAGCAGAACAGGCCACGGTTTAACGAAGAATGTCCAAAATTAGATGAAAGGAAACGATCCAAATTGCAAAGTTTACAGGATTCCAGCCAAAAGAATGGAGATATTTGAACAATGTGAGATATGTAGCCAGTGGGAATTTAAGAAAAGAAAGCAGTATATGAAAGAAAAAATTAGTAAAAAGAAGAACAAGGAATTCAGTGATTAGTTATATGAGGTGTGCCATCTACACAACAATATTCTGTATTTAAAAAACAAAGGAGACACTACTGTATCAACATTTGTTTATATTTGTTTTTACAAATGCAACATGTTTCGAGCCTTATACCGGGCCATCATCAGGCGTACAATGATCAAGCTTCAGCTATTGAATTACAATTAATTTTATCTACTTCTTTAAATAAGGATACTTATTATTTCTTGAAATTAAGATTGTCAGTGATTAGCTTGCTGACTCCAACAGTATTTTGAGTAGACGGGAGGTCCGCCTTTTTCCAGATATTGAATCTAACTGGGGTTCATGTGTTAGGCAGAGAGAAAGGCATATAACTGAAGCTTTAGTACCTTAGTCCGGTCATTTTTGAAGTTGAATTTGTTGTTACGAAGTTGTGAAATTCTAAATCGCCAAGCATCGATCGAATTACGACAGAATTGATTGAAGCAGGAGGTGAAACAGAAGGTTGTGAGATATATAAACTATTAGTTATATTTGGAATAGAAAATTACTTCAGTATTTACTTGTCAGAAGCCAGATGACAGTGACCATCCAGGCATATCACCGTTCATCGTCATCAAATTCATACAACATATTACCCAATATTATTATTTCAGTATTTAAGCCGCGCTATAGCTCAAGCGGTTAGTCGCTGGGTTCCCACCGTGACGGTCGGGTTCCATCCCGGGTCTGGTCAAGTGGGATTTGTGGTGGACAAAGTGGCGCTGGGGCAGGTTTTCTCCAAGTACTTCGGTTCCCCCTGCCAATCTTCATTCCACCAATTGCTCCACAATCACCCTCACCTATCATCTGGGGCTGGTACAATAGGCCAGAAGTGGCCGCAGTACAAGGGACTTAGTACCACACCACTAGCAATAAAAAAAATTTCAATATTGCCTCCACATATACACAATATTATTGGGGATCATCAATATATATTTTGGCAGTCTTCAGACACAGGAAATAAGAAAAATAGGAATGGATTGGCACAATAGAAAACACATCATTGTTTAGCAACGGTTATCATGTATTTCTGTCAGACGTGTCCAACCATCTATTGCCTAGCAACGGACGCCCTATATTGTTGGATGCTCGTTAGTTTGAACATGTTTACGTATTCGTCTCCTAGAAACGGCCCAGTCTGTCACAATATACTGTCGCGTATCCGGGGTTTGCATGGCTTAAAAGACGGGCTTTGGAGTTGATGATCGAATTTATTGAAGCTTTCTACAACTTACAATATTATATTTAAGCATCCTGCTGCACTCTATACGATATATGATATAAACTCCGTCCTAAGTGCAACCGATTTATTATAGGTCTTTCGTCTTGCTTTCTTCTACACTACAAGTTTCGGCCTCAAACGACCATCATCAGGTGTATACACTCACGTAGCTGTTACACTGCACTTAGTTTAAAATTTAAAAACACGGGTCTTCCCAATTGTTCCCTTCGTCGTTGCTAACAGAATCTAGTTCGCTGATATATCTGATTTGTACATTATCTTTGTTACCTACACACGTCAATTTTGACTTTCATGAACTGGCACTTTTAAAAATCTTCAGTTCCAATTTTGAAAAATTCCTTTAATTTTTTTTCTCAATTTTAAAATTTTAAATTCTCAGGATTACTCGCCCTATGTAAAGACAAACAGAGGCACGCACACAGGGAGCCTACACAGAATAACACCTGTACAGTGCTGAAAACAAGAAGTAGCCGCTGCAGCACTATAGACGTGAGGCGAGTAACCCTGAGAATTTTAAATTTAAAATTTAAAATTTGGGAAAAACATTTAAAAGAATTTTTAAAATTGGAACTGAAGATTTTAAAAGTGACAGTTCATGAAGGTCAAAATGGACGTGTGTGGGTGGCAAAGATGAGGTACGAATCAGACAAATATCAGCGAAGTAGATCCTGTTAGCAGCGACGAAGGGAACAATTGGGAAGACCTGTATGTTTTTAAATTTTAAACTAAGTGCAGTGTAACAGCTACATGAGTGTATACACCTGATGATGGCCGTTTGCGGCCGAAACATGTAGTGTAGAAGAAAGCAAGACGAAATTCCTATAATAAATTGGTTGCACTTAAGACGGAGTTTATACCATATACTTTATACAACCTGTTACAATAGTTCACAGATTACCCACCTGGCACTCTGTCATCTCCTTCCGACTCAGTTTGACTCTACAATCGCTCGACTGTGACTCTCTGCGACTCATTTCTGTCTGACGATTCACTTGTCACTCTCCGGCCGGCCCGGGTTTCTGCGCCTTGCATCATAACGTCCGGTACCCGTGCGAATGTGTCTACATGTTTTCCAAGAGTCTATCTACTAGGCGATGCACTTGTAAATCCATGGCAAAGCACTGAATATATCTCCTAGGAAACGCTATGAATCTATTTCCTACGAAACGCATTTACGTATAAATCCACAGCAACGCTTTGAATCTATTTCCTAGGGAATGTTTTGGATCCATTTACTATGAA